TGATTTTTGTGAACTGATAGTCATTTCTATATGCTTCTGCTAATATTCTTCTTGTTCCAGTTCATTATTAATAATTTTAACAAATTTTATAACATTTTAACAGTTTCTTTATGATAGTGAAATTGAGTTTGAAATTCTTTAAACATCAGTACATAATATTTTTGTTATACTTTTAAGGATTTGACCAGTTGTAGAAATTTTCATCAGTATCTCAGTCTCAAATTCCCCAGGTCACTAAAGCAATTACATTTATCATTTATGGATTTATAATTCATTAATCTGTAGGCTAAAATTCAGCCCTACATGGAAGCATTATATTCACCTGACAATCTTTCTCTTTCGTTTCCTTCCCCTTCTCCTTCCTTCGCTAACTTCCTCTCTTACTTACCTTCTAATTGCTCTTTCATTTAGCTTCTAAATCTCTTCTCTTGATGTATATAAATTCCTCAGTTGCAAAGGTAGAAAACTTTTGAAAGCTTAAAATTTGTCAAACAGCAATAAGCCATACCCTTTATTAAGGGAGAAAAACAATAGCAATAGTTTCAATGTGCCTAAAGTTTCCTAACAATTGCAGAAAATAAGTAAGAATCATTTATTTTACATATTTAATGTTGCCACAGTAATTAGCTATAATATAGCTAAGTAATAATGCTATCTACTTTATAAATAATGTTAATATTTATAACATTTCTGAAAACAAAAATAGCCCTTTAAAAGTTTTTAGGTCTTCTTCTTTTTTTTTTTTTTGTCACTTGTGGGGCTTGAACCCAGGGTCTGTGGCACTGTCCCTGAGCCTCCTTGTGCTCAAGGCTAGTACTCGACCACTTGAGCCATAGCACCACTTCCAGTTTTTGAGCAGTTCATTGGAGGTAGAGCACTAGCCTTGAGCACAAGGAGGCTCTGGGCTAGATTCAAATTGTCATCTTCAGATCTCAGCTAGGATTACAAGCATGAGTCACTGGTGCTTGGCCCCTTAAAAATTTTTGAATACATGACTGTCTGCTATTTTTACGAATTAATTTTTTTCTCTAGAAACACTTTGCAATTTTCATAATTATTTGGAAGCATATAATCTATGTTCTGAAGAATTTAATATGTTCTGAATTATAGGAGTCTATTATTTTTACTTGAGTTATAGCCTTCCTAGAAACCAATTTCTTAGCATCAGTTAGTGCTAAGACTTTTTGGAATTTTACAGAAAAGCATATTTCATAAATTCAAGTCACAGGTCCCCTAAGACAAGTTCTATTTTGGTGTCTACATTTACAATAGCTGACACTGTCACAGTCGTTCACCTTCATCATTAAAAAACCATATAAAGTTCCTTTCTCTGCTAAACTTAGAATGGTAAGTGCTAGCCTCATAGACTTTCAGTCCTTGGTGTCTGTCCAGAGGTGTAGAGGTGTAGGTAGCCGTAAGACAGGGGCAGATCTTAACACTGTGAGAAATCACCTCAACTCAAAACTACTTGTGAAAAGCAAAACTTTTTATGGATACCTGAATACAAACCAGTTTTACGTGAGACATAAATATAAGAAAGGAACAAGGCCTGGGTAGAGCATCCAGTCTGCCCTGCTAGGTTAGCTTTGGTACACAGTTATGGGTGTGTTCTCTCTTTATGCTCACACTCCATAGATTCTATGTTGATCTTAATCACATCCAGATATTGGTGTCTGAGGAAAGCAATGATTTATAGTCTTTTGAAAAGACTTAATGATATCCACAATGATGTTGCTCTGAGATGCTTCTAGAGATGATACTGGGGGAGCTCATTAAACATAAACCACTAAGGAAGCTGTTTGTGAGGTGAGAGGCAGAGCAAAACACATTCAGTGATGCCATCAACTATGAACCAGAGACGATTCTAGAGGCTGTTACTATGAAGAACCCAGTCTTATGTGGAAGAGCCTAAAGAAGTCGTTCTAAACATTATTAAGAACAATTAGAATTGCTTCAAGATGAGTACCCAAGCCACTGTGGACTCTTTCTCTACATACCCATTACAAGAAAACCACAGATGAGGCAGGAAGGACTTTTCAGCCCTCTTTCTACTTCCGTCCAAAATAGGAGATGTTAATGTTATCTTTTCAATGTAGGCCACTGAAAGGAAAAGACAAATAATCTCTTGCCAATAACTCTGATACCATTGGACACTGAAATTCTCAGTGAAAGCTTTGTGATCAAAGACATTGAATGGGAGCCGAACTCTCCAACTCTGTTATAATAGTACTTATTGACCATTACTAAATGTCATTTACTGTGACTGCTCTAAGAATTCTATATGTGTTCATTTACTTAAGACAATTATTATGTGCCATTTTAGTATTCATTCTACTAATAGAGACAGTCATACAAAAGTTAAGCTGCCTATTACTGGCATATCTATAGTACAATAGACAGTAAAAAGAAAAAGAAAAAAACAAAGAGGACCCCAATGTATGGACACATCCTTAATTCCAAGAAGGAATGAATATATGACATTCCAAAGAGAACATGGCAGAGATGATGAGGTGACACACTTTTAAATTAGAAGATGATTCTGTATAGGCCAGATGGGCCCAAAGTAACCACATAGGTTACTTAGAAATAGAGGAGACATGACAAAAGAAAAGTGGTTGGAGAGAGAGTGGTTAGAGGAGGAGGAGGAGGAGGAGGAGACTACAAACCAAGGACTATGGACATTTCTAAAAGCTAGGGAACCAAGAGAAATGGATGCTCTCCCAAGAAAATCCATTCAAAGAATGCCACCCTGCCAACATCTATTTTTGCCCCGATGATGCCTGTGCTGGTACACAGGAATTCCAGCACTGTAGGATAGTAAGTTTCTGAAGTCCTAAACAATTACTTTGTTACAGCAATAATAGAAAACTAATATATAGTATGCCATTGGAATAAATAATAGCTAAGATTTCCTCTTGCTTGGGCAGGTTGATTTTGTTGTAACTTTAGTGAATAGGTTTTTTGGTACATACAAGATGGCTTACTGTGGCCTGAAAAAAAATAGGACATTGCTTATCACAAAAAGTAAGACACTATCATTATTCTAATCTTTATAATACAAAGAATCTGATGATTTCCCACCAAATTCTGTCACCAGTGCCAAAGTATCCTTTGAAGTCTCATAATAAAGTGAGTTGTTTAAAGAGAAGCACATTATAATAAGCTTTTCCAAAGCAGTGTAATTTTTTCATATTTCTCATAAGTATCCATCATGGGCTGAGATTCAGGCCATCTCCTCCATACAGTAGTGTTCATATACATAAATACAATGAAATTCCTTGGTGCCAGTGGCTGACATTTTAATCCTAGCTACTCAAGTGGATAGGACCTGAGAATCAAGATTGGAAGCCATTCCCAGTAGACTCTAACAAACCAGCAAAAAGATCTAAGTGGAAGCATGGCTCAAGGGATAGAGTATCAGCTATGAGCATAAAAGGCTGAATCAAGTGCGAGGCCCAGAGTTCAGCCCATAATAGTTAGAAGATGGATAGAATTATACTTATGGATGTGAGGGAAAAACTGGGAGAGAGCAAAGAAAAGGGGTGACATTGTCTGAAAAAAAATGTATGAATTACCTGGTTTATGTAACTGTAACCCTATGTACAACACCTTTATAATAGCAATAAGACACGAAAAAGGGAGATAGAAAGATGCCACAAACCATCATTGAATGCACCACATCTGATTGCTAGTTTCACTACTGTAGCAGTATGCTTCCCAGTAAGGTATAAGAGAAGAAAGGAAGCTATAGAAGTAGCAGTTTTGTAATGAATTATATTTATTGATTGAAAAGAAATAATAAAACTTGGGCTGAGAAGGTGGCTCAGTAGTAAAGTGCTTGCCTTTCATGCATGAGGCCCAGGGTTCAATTCCTCAGCGCTACATAAGCAGAAAAAAAGCTGGAAGTGGCACTGTGGCTCAAGTGGTAGAGCTGAAGAGCTCAGAGACAGCACCCAGGCCCAGAGTTCAGACCCCAAGACCAAGAAAGAAAGAAAGAAAGAAAGAAAGAAAGAAAGAAAGAAAGAAAGAAAGAAAGAAAGAAGGAAGGAAGGAAGGAAGGAAGGAAGGGAAGGAAGGAGAAAGAAAGAAAGAAAGAAAGAAAGAAAGAAAGAAAGAAAGAAAGAAAGAAAGAAAGAAAGAAAGAAAGAAAGACAGAAAGACAGAAAGAAAAAGAAAGGAAGGAAGGAAGGAAAAAGAAAGAGAAGGAAGGAAGGAAGGAAGGAAAGAAAGAAAGAAAGAAAGAAAGAAAGAAGGAAAGAAAGAAAGAAAGAGGTGGGAAGGTGGCTCAGTGGTAGAGCATTTGCCTTGCATGCATAGGCCCTGGGTTCAATTCCTCAGCACCACATAAGCAAAAAAGAAAAAAGCCAGAAGTGGCGCTATGGCTCAAGTGGTAGAGCGCTAGCCTTGGGCTGAAGAGCTGAGGGACAGCGTCCAGGCCCAGAGTTCAGGCCCCATGACCGGACCCCAAAAAAAAAAGAAAAAAGAAAAGAAAGGAAGGAAGGAAGGAAGGAAGGAAGGAAGGAAGGAAGGAAGGAAGGAAGGAAGGAAGGAAGGAAGGAAGGAAGGAAAAGGCTTTAGAAAGGCCACTAGAAAAGTCAACTTCAAGTAAAGTTTTAAAATGAACATTGCATCTATCTCCTGCAACATTTCATTTGGACTATGCATTTAATTATAATATGAACCATTTTAATTGAAATAATAAGATAAAATCAGAACTTACACAAAAGATGATTCAGCATCCTATTTCAAATGATTTAAGAGAGAATTGTTTATGAATGTGCTATGAGATCAATTTTGGAAAACAAGATGAAATTTTCTATTGCAAGGCAATTTACTGCTTTTCTTAAACTTGACTTAGGAAGCAATGTTTTAATTAAAGTACTATAATAATCTATAAGCTCATATGTGCAAGTTGAAATTAATGTATTCACTGTTGAATATATTAAGTGGGCCTAGTTGTTGGTAATAGAATCCTAACCTCTGTTACTTCTGACCTATAGGGTATCTTTGTTACTAGGGTTCAGCCTGATGGGCCAGCATCCAACCTACTGCAGCCTGGTGATAAGATTCTTCAGGTAAGATGAACAAAGCAATGCATGCAAAAGTCAACATGAAACAAACACATCATCATTAAGTGTCTTGAAATAAATGAGTGAAAATATGTCCTTGTCACATTGCTTGTTTGCCTCTATTGTTTTGGCGTTGAGAGACAAGTCAAAACAATTCAGTCTAACAGAGTACCTTGTCCTTAGCACCCAATAAGAACCTGGCACATGAGAGCATCCTATGTATTTTTGTTGGCTTGAATGGAATTACTTGGTTATGTAAGAAGAATGTACACATACACACATGCAATATACATACACACAAGTGCATACGAACCTATGAATAACTATTAAACAAAAGCAAGTATAATTAAGAGCCCATGTTGGATATCTTTGTGACTTTAAAAGAGGAAGAAACACAGGCTCATCTTCACGTTTTGAGAGTGAGCTTATTTCTGTTTAAATAATGTGAAATACATGTTTGCATCACTCTCATTCCCTTATCCAGATGAACACAAAATTTACTGTAGCCGAGATGACTTCTTAGAATGTATTGTCTGATGATGCTCTTTTCTGTGAAAGTCTACAGAGGTTTATTATTTGTCATGCCTAAGTTTGTATAACAACAGCAAGGTGCACAGAGGAGTGGATTCCTAATGCAAGAAGCTGAAAGAAATTAAAAACTCAATGAATTAAAAAAAAAAAAAACAGCTGTGCGCCGGTGGCTCACTCTTGTAGTCCTAGCTGCTCAGGAGGCTGAGAAACTAAGGATCATGGTTCAAAGCCAGCCCAGGCAGGAAAGTCTGTGAGACTCTTATCTCCAATAAACCACTAAAAAAAAAACCAGAAGTGGTGCTGTGGCTCAAGAGATAGAGTACTTGCCTTAAGCTGAAGAGCTGAGGGACAGCGCCTAGGCCCATGACCAAAAATAAATAAATAAATAAACAAAAACCTAGAAGTCTCGCTTCTCCATACAAAGCAACTGAGCCTATGACTTTTTGTTGTTGGGGGTTTTTTTGCTGTAAATCTTAATTGCAAATCAAAATCCATTTTCAGTAAGAAATACATAAATCTTAATCAAATAAATTATTGTATTCTATTTAATTCATAATAATGAATTCTTAAATTCAGTTAGCAATACTCTCTGAAAGAAGTAAGATTAATTGTCAATATCAAGCTAAGAGAGGAAGCTACACTTCAACTCTGTAATGCTACTGGCTATTTAAAGAATGTTGAAAAATGGCTTAATAACACTGGATTACCCGTACAGTGTATTAGGTGTTCTTACTTGAGACAATTTACTTACAAAGCTTAATGACAATGAAGCTAGAAAAGTCAAATAAAAGGAAGAAAGAAATACACTTACAAACATACTAACTACCCTAATTGATTAAAGTTATTCTTTAGCTGTTGTTATTTGTGGCACTGGGTTTTGAACTTGGGGCCTTGCACTTACTAGGCGGTGCTCTACCACATGAGCTATGTTTCCTACCCTCATTTTGCTTTTGTTAATTTTTTAAAAAGTTCTCAGATTTAGGTCCAGGCCGACCTGGACAACAATTCTTGTTTAGGCTTCCTGCATAACTGGGTTGATAAATGGACAACATCATACTCACTCAGTTTCTTATTGGTTGAGATGGAGTCTCACAAATGCCTTTTTTGCTGAACTGACCTCAAACTGTGGTCTTTCTCATCCTCTCATAAATAAATAGGATTACAGCCATTAGCTACCATGCTTAGTCAGATACTGGTTTCAATTTAGCCCAATACCCAAAAAAGACATAGATAATAAGAGATACCTTTCCTAAATACCTCCAACCCAGTTTATTAGTAGTGCCTCTGTTTTTTTTTCTGTAACTCTTTTTGACTTACTGTTTTCTTATTCTGATATGATATTATTTGCATGTATTTGAATTACATAAACATGTACATATCTGGGATGGTACTAATTAAAACACATTCACATTATTTTTCTGTCATTTCCTATTCAACACAGGCACCCTGTAATTAATGACCATATCCAGTGACTTATGGTGGTATTATGCTTTAAGACAGTATAGCATGTGGGATGAGCACTCTGAAAGGAAAACTGACCCTTCCCAGCCTCACCATCTGTGAAGTTAAATTATGTAACATTGAGAGGAAGGAAAAGTGGGAAGAACAGGAACTGGAAACAAAATGCTAGTAGATTGAGCCATGTGGATTTGCCAATAGGAAACCACGATTAAAATATTAATTTGGTTATTTTAACATCAGAGTTTCTTCTTTCTAATGTTCTTTCCAGTTTTAAAAAAATTACTACATACTTTACAACTCAAAGTTATCTGAATATAGAAAATCCATTAATTATAACTACTCTGTTAAAAAGATGAATAGATTAGGATAAAGAGTGTATTATACTGAATAGTTAACAATGGGACTCACTTGTAAGAATATTGTGTTCTGTTAGGACATCCCACCCCATCCCCCTCTAGTTTACCTCCTCCTACCCTAAATTCGAGCCTACTTTTCTTTCTTTCTTTTTTTGTCAGTGGTGGGGCTTGAACTCTGGGCCTTGGCACTGCCCCTATGCTCTTCAGCTCAAGGCACATGCTCTACCACTTAAGCCATAGCTCCACTTCCAGTTTTCTGGCTGTTAATTGGAGATAAGAGTTTCATGGACTTTCCTGCCCTGGCTGGCTTTGAACTGTTATCCTCAGATCTCAGCCTCCTGAGTAGCTAGGATTACAGGCGTGAGCCATTGGTGCCTGGCTCTTCAAACCTACTTTTAACTAGAGAAGATAGATTAAATAATTTATAGAGAATGGTGTAGTAGCATTTAGTTTCTTCCAGCTACCAAAACAAATTATCCCATATTGGCACGCAATGGAAGATAAGTCCCCTTACCTGTCCATTATTGTAAGAATTTGGAATTCATGATCCACATGCATTCCTGTTCTCTTGCTCTATTCTTTCCTTCCTTCTTTCTTCCTTGCATCTTTCCTTCTTTTCTACCTTTTTTAGTTGTATTGTAGTTTGAACTCAGAGCCTAAAGGGCATCAAGCATGCTAGGCAAGTATTCCCTCACTTGACTTAAGCCTCTAGCTATTTTTTACTTTAGCTGTTTTTCAGAGGGAGTGGATCTCACATTTTTGCCCTAGCTCACCTGGGTCAAATTCTCCTACTTATGCCTGCTATGTAGAAGAGATTATAGATGGACACACCATTATGACTAGCTTCTTGATTAAAATTGGTTCTTAATTGTTTGCCCAAGTTGGCCTCAAAACAAACATCTCTGCCTCCCAAACAGCTGGGATTATAAATCACCACACCCAGCCTCTGCCTGTATTTCTTAGATATCAAAATTGGCTTGAGGATATAGTTTAGTGGTAGAGAGTTTCCTTGACCCATTCAAAGTTCAGGCCCCACAACCAACAAAAAAAAAAAAAAAATCAACCAGTAAGTCTGTCAAAGGATATGTGGAATATTAGTAAAGCTATAGTCATGGTACTTTTTTAGTGGTTTTTGTAAATGTTCATTTTTATTTTATTTTTTTATTTTTTGGGGGAGGGTCTGATTGTGGGGCCTAAACTCTGGGCCTGGATGCTGTCCCTCAGCTCTTCAGCTCAAGGTAAGTACTCTACCACTTGAGCCACAGCGCCACTTCTGGCTTTTTTTTTTGCTTATGTGGTGCTGAGGAATCGAACCCAGGGCCTCATGCATGCAAGCCAAGCACTCTACCACTGAGCCACCTTCCCAGCCCTGACATTCATTTTTATTAGTGTTGATTTGTGGTGGTTGTTTTTCTGCTTTCTAGCACTGTATCTTGGCATTCATAGAATTTGATGCCCATGAGGTCTATTTTATCACTTTTCTTCCTCATAACTACTGATAACTCCATCTTACATGATTAGTCTTACAAAAATGTCATGAGAAGCTAGATTAAGTCAGACGTTTCAGCACCATTACAAAATATCTGACCAAAAAGATAAATAAAACTATAGGGAAGAAGGGTTCACCTTGCACTCAGTTTCAGAAGTTTCATTCCATCAACAGCTCCATTGCATTTGAGTCTGAGTGTCATGGGAGAGAGCATCTGCAGGGAGAATATGGCAGAATAGTTCATATTATGGCAGACAATAAGGAAAAAGAAGAAAAGAGAGAAGCAAGGAGAAGGGAGAGGAAAGGAGAAGATAGAGGAGAAATGAGAGGGGGGGAAGGAGAGAGAGAGAGAGAGAATGGACCAGGAACAAGCAAATGCCCTTCCAAAGAATAGCACCAGTGACCCCACTTCCCACTTCCTCTAACCAGGCCCCAGATCCAGCTTTCACTTCCTAATAGCTGCATCCTATTATGAATCCATCAGTAGATTATTGATTAGATCCGAGCCCTGGAAAGCCAATCACTTTCCTAAACCTCATCACCAAACCAACAAGCCACCAACAGGTGAGCCTTTATGGAGAGACACTTCATACCTAAAACAAGACACCCCTAATAAATAAGGAAGAAGTTGTGAGCCTTCAAAGAAGCTCATAGATTGAAAAGATGAATGTATTTAGATTCACTCAAAGCATAACATTCTTGATTTTGTGATTTAACTAGCGTTGTAGCAACATAAACGAAGTGACACCTTGGACCACAGAAAGGGTGCACATTCATACACACACACACACACACACACACATACACATACTAAAAATCCATGACACCATCCTCTTCTCTTCTCAACTGAACCAGCAGGAAATGAGATTGTATAGCAAGGAGCCAGATAAAGAGGCTTAGGCCAGAAAGAGAGAATGTCGAGAACAAAAGAGAGAATATTGAGAGGGAAACTCATTTATGTTTCATGAAAGAAAGCCTTGAGACAAATCAAGTTCTTTAGGCTTGAAAATTCATTAGGGTGGCTAATGTGAAAGTAACATTTACCATTTAGATTGTTTTATTAAAGAAACACCACATTGCAAAAAATCTATGATTGAAAGATAATTATTTGAGCTCTGTCCATTAGAGAATATGAAATCTCTGGAGCAAATTATACTGTTTATTTACTT